CTGTTTCATTGTGGAGTATGCAGGGCCTATTCGGTTCCCCATCCCTATCTTCCAGCACGAATGGCTGTATTCCCAGGGAACATCTAGTCCTACTATTAAAGACTGAGATAAAGAAGGCATTAAGTACCTCAGCCTTATCCTGATCCTTGGTCACTGTGTTCTCCTCTGGGAGAACAAGGGCTGGAGGTTCTTCCTAGCCTTTCTCTTAATGTGTTTATAGAAATATTTATTGTTGTCCTTCACCTTAGTGGATAAGTTTATTTCTAGCTGGGCTTTGGCCTTTCTAATTTTCCCCCTGCACAGTTTCACTGTGTATTTTTAATCCTTATAAGTTGTATCCTCCCTCTTCCAACAACCATTAACCTTTCTTTTGTTTCTGAGTTCCAGCCAAAGGTCTCTGTTCAGCCAAACGTGAGGACTTGCAGTTTCAACCCCTGCTCTCATTGCAACCAGGAGTGTGCTTCCCCTTGTTGGCTCCTCTCCAGCTGTGTCAGGAAGTTATCTCCAACACACTCTGGGAACATCCAGGACTGTTCACTTTCTGCTGTACGATATTTCCAGCAGATGTCTGGGAAGTCGCAATGAGAGCAGGGGTTGAGACTGCAAGTCCTCATCTTTGGATATTGTACTATTGAACATGGTTTAATGGGGAAATGTTGGTGGTAGATGGACAGTTGGATGGGATGATCTTGGAGGTCTTTTCCAGTCTTGGTGATTCTGTGTTCTGTAATCTAAAGGAGTCTTGTGACTTGCATTAGGAACTGCGGGCGGGACAAAACTTTTCTAACATTAGTGCTTAGCCTCAAATCTCTGTAGAAAATACAGTGCTGGGGAAATTGTGTTGGTTAAATGCAGGTCTGTATAGCTCACTGTCATTAACTGCCTACCAGGGAGACCTGAATGAATTGTGTTATTTGCTTTTCTTTTACGACTGAAGCTGTAGAGAGAGAGTAATATTGTATTTATTGATTTCTCAGTGGTCAGGAAACACCACCTTGTTAATATTCTCAAAAAAGAAAAAAAGAAAAAGAAACTAGATTTAAAATTGCATTGATGAAAATCTGAATTGGAAGTGGAAGCTTTGGGCACAATCTCTTGTAGCTCTGGACTATGCTTGAATGTTGCTCTCTGTTTTGTTCTGAAAGTTGTTCTGGACTGTAAGTGAAAAGCAGAAGTGGAAAAATGAATGCATGCTGTAGTTAAATGATTTTAGTTATATCAGTTAATTAGCTTAAGAGAAATACTTACTAGTGGCTCACTATTTTTCTAAAATGTATTATTTTTTTTCCTTGTTGGATGAAGTTTAAAGCATCTATGGATGAAATGACAGCTGGATGTGCTGTTTTAACGTTTTTTTTTCATGAACTACCGTAATCAGTTTTCTGGTTGTAGTGTGAGATTTTAAAATTTACCGTTAGGCATTCCATGTCTGGCTCTCACATTCCAACAGTGGATCTTCAGCTCAGCTTTTTCAGATGTGCTGGATGTTTGACTTTGGTTATATTGAGTCAAATGCAGAAATACTGTAGAGAAGTATGCATACCTTTGCTTCAGTCTTTCTCAGTGGCAGCAGTTGCTTGATCCCATGGTTCCATCTTGCCCCGTGTTCGTTGCTGATTTTTCTTTGATAAGCAGTTTATGTCATTATATTAAATAAGATTTCATGAAGAAACACAGTCTGATTGACAAGGAGACAAATATCTTGAAAAGACATAGAAAGCTTCAGGAGTTAATCATGTGTATTTATAGGATGCACTGAGAATGTCTTTCTATCATAGATCTTTTTAAAATTACTATTGTGGCCAAATCTACCATTGCTGAATTTTCTCTCCTACTCTCATTCTTATAGTTCCTTCTGGAAAACAGTTTAGTATTCTTTTGCAAAAACATTTTGAATATTTATCCTGCAAAATGTCTTTACCTTCTTTACTTCCAGGATCTAATCTAAATCCTCTGAGAGTATTGAGATCCTCTGAGTGTCTGAGATTTTTACTGTTTTTATGTGATGTTATTATCACAAGTAAGATAATTTTAATAAAAGAGCAAAGATTTACTTAAATTGAACAGTTGATTCTAATTAAAATTACACATTCATATATATCAAACATTTTATTAGCACACAGTATTGTATTCATATGATAGTATCAATATTAGTACTAACTGTTAATATGAATATATAATATATATAGTAAAATGATACAATATATCTGAACAAATATTGTTGGTGTTATCATAACAGATATTGAAATTGGGACCCTGTGACACAGATCTCTGCAGGAGGTAGTGTAATCCAGTTCAGCTGAACTTCTTGTTAGGAAGGAGTCAAATGTTGGTCTCTTGCTCCTTGCTATTCAGCACAAAATTCCAGATCTATTCCGGAAAAACCTCTTGTTTGTTTGGCAGGAGGGTGTTTAAAAAGGAATACTGTCTTGACACCTGAGATTAATGTTCAAAAGTGTACTGTTCAAATACTATCACAGAATTACATAATTGCAAGGGTTGAAAGGGACCTCAAGAAATTAAGTCTAACCACCCTGCTAAAGCAGTTTCCCTACAGCAGGTCACACAGGTAGGCATCCAGATGACTCTTCAATATTTCCATAGAATGAGATTCTGCAGTCTCTCTGGGTGACCTGTTCCAGTGCTACGTCATCCTTATGGTAAAGAAATTCTTCTGCATGTCTGTATAGAGCTTCCCATGTTTGACTTTTAGGTCGTTACTCCTTATCCTGTTGCTGCGCACCACCAAGAAGAGCCTGGCCTCATCCATTTGCCTCCCATTTCCCTTTAGGTATTTGTAAACATTAATCAGATCCTGTTTCAGTCTTCTTTTCCCCAGGCTGAACAGACCTACATTACTCAGCCTTTCCTCATCCAGAAGATGCTCCAGGTCCTTTACTGTTTTTGTGACCCTCTACTGGACGCCTTCTAGAAGGTCCCTGTATTTTTTTAACCCGGGAGCCCAGGACTGTATTCCAAAGAAGTTTTGATATCCCTTTGGTTTTCCCCAGCTCTGCATGGTATTAGTGAAAGGTTGCATGACTGATTAGATTTATTTATTTTTAATTTTGTCTTTCTTATATATAACCTTTAAAATACCTAATGGTCTCTCTTCAAGGAATGTAAAAGGTCTGTGATGATAATGGAGCCTTTAACTAAATGGATCTAATGAGTTCTTGGCTTTAAAGTGGAGGTGTCAAATCAAGTTTCAAGCATCCATGGCATAGATATAGCCTGAAGTTTTGCAGTATACTGTAAATAATGCTTGACATACTTCACTGCTAAATTTGATACACAGAAGTGAATTAATATTAAACTATTTGACATTTGGGTCCTAAAATATTCATTAAATATTTCTCTCACAACAGTGTTTTCAACCCATTTCAAATTTCAAGGGAGTCTTATGAAATTTGCAGAACAAGACATACTGCCTAAAGCAGCAACTCAGGGCAGCAGTTAGGAAGATCTCTGATAATGATGGCATGTGGGAGATATTCACACTACTCTTGTTGATTTTTTGATGTCTACGTTCAAAATATTTTCCAGGTTTCACAGTGTGAAAACTCTCAGACTAATCGTGCTAGATTAAACTTTTATGCCACTGAAATTCTATCCTAGTAAAGATAAAACAGAGTGACCATAACTGTCTCACCTGAGATCCCTCTTTCCCAATTTCTTTTTTAAGAAATCTATGAGTTTAGCTAAAGAGTGCTGACATCTAGCGGCTACATGAAATAGTGCAAAGAGCTTTAGTCAAGCTGGTCTTTGTGTTCAGAAGAGTACGGTGCAGTTTAATAAAAGATAACCAGTCCTTTTCTTTATGGATTTAAACACAAACGTGAATTCAAGAAACAGATGACAGAATTATGAGGATGAACTCCATTGAATATTTTTTATTAAAATGTTTTTCACTTACATGAAAGGAAAATCTTACCTATTGGCATTTTAGGGAAGGTAATTAGTTTGAATGTTCAAACTCTTTTATTTCTTTTAAAGATTTGACTGTTTTTTTAGTAATAAAAAATAGAGAGGGAAAAGACAAATTGCCTTTCTTCAACCTGCTGTCAAGGTCAGTCTTCCACTTGGACCACAGCTTGTGTGTCTTCTAACTGTGGTTAACCTGAAGCAAGACCACACCCAGCTGCACATCAGTCATGTTTCTGGTCTGGATCCGTCCACACAGTATTTAACAGCTGCTTCCTGAAATGCCTGATAGGGTGAACACAAGGACTGCAGTTTCTTCTTCTTCAGCCCTCATCAAGGGGCATCTCTCTGGCCTTAACAAATCCCACTTGTGCAATCTTTCTGACTTATCTGTTCTGACACTTTACACCCACACCTCATCCAATCTCTATTGATTAGATTTTGAACATCTTTATTTCACTTTTCCAAATTCTCTTCAGAGTTACCTGTTTGCTCATTGTTAACTATTCCCCAGATGTATCAGGGAGCTTAAGGCTATGCATATCTGAAATTATGTGACCTATTTGAACTTTGTGAACTGACATTGGATTTAATTTGTTCATCTTGAATGTCATGAAAGAGGGAATCCTGAACACAGAAAAATCAGTGAAGTGTTACACTTGTGATGCCAGTGGAGCCAGGATTTGTTCCTAACATCTGCCCATGCATTTTTAAAGACATCATATAATTAGATGAGTATATTACAGAAATCTATTTTATAACCTAATTTTTTGTGATTGCATTAAGATGAAATTCTAGTCCTAATATAGTGATGATTTTTTTTAACCAAGAACTACACTGGAACAGTTGGCATTTCATGTGTGACTTTGAGTTTAGATTGCAGACAACAGAAGGTAATTCAAGCACCCTCTCATTATTGATACTACAAATTAGCTGAGTACTGGCACTATAGAATTAGATTGTGACAATAAAAAAGTAATCAAGCTGATGCTTTTAATATAATTATCAATACAAACTATGTTAGTATCTGAACTGGATTAAAAGAACATAATTAACAATGTATGTTTCATCCACAGGAACCAGTGATCCGTACGTCAAGTTCAAACTTGGAGGAAAAGAAGTGTTTAGAAGTAAAACAATACACAAGAACCTCAATCCTGTGTGGGAAGAAAAAACTTGCATTCTTATAGATAACCCAAGAGAACCCTTATATATAAAGGTAAGACAGTGTATTATTTATGTCAGACAAATTACAGGCAAAGAGTTATTGACAGAATTTATGTTTTTAAATGCAAAGTATGTTACTATTAAAAAAGCTTGAGGTGAATTGTAATTCTACATTGATCCTTTCCTGCCCTCATTACCCTTAGGAATACATAAGGAATGAAAACAGGCTCTGTAGCAGAAAGAAGCAGATTCAAAAGGGGACGCTTAAAAGAAAGCTAGCTACCTGTTTTGATTTAGGTCAAATAGCAACCCTGCAGTAAGGTAGCAACCCAGAGTAAGGTAAGACAAGGGAACAGAAGTATGTATTTTGTTTTTTCTAGGAAGAAATATTGACAGGTATAACGTCTTTCTTTGCAGATATGTCCTATGAACACAGCATCTAAGTATTTCAGTGTTTGTAGCTCAGGCAGACATTCTAAGTCCTGGCTGAGGTATACTAACTCAGCTGAATGTGTCTACTGGATGTTTTCATTTTGGTAATTTGTAGAGAGAAAAAATAATTATATTTTGCAAGAGGAACTGAGATTTTATCATGTATTTTTCTTTCACGTTGCAGTGAAAACGAGAGAGATAAAATATGACAGTGTCCAGTCACGTAGATCAATACGATCGACTGAAACACAAATACTTACGAATTCAGTCCTTCATGCTTGTAGCCACTGGAGTATAGGATTTTGGTAACATTATTTCTGTCTAAACCCAGTCTGTATTAAATTATCCGTAGAAGATGAACAGCTTTATCTTCTTAAAAACTTAAAAAAAAAAAAAAGGTTTTTTGTAATGCAATAGTTGAAGTATATATATCAGAATCAAAGGCCTTGAGTCCAGATCTGTTACTTCTCCATTAAATGTTCTCATTACAGCTACTAATAAGTGTCCCTCTTTATTTAGAGCGAAAGATCTCTTCAGATTTCAGAAATTGTCATGACAATGCCATGACAAGGAAATGTAACTTAACTAGGAAGTTTTTGATGCCTGAGAGTTTCCTATTTTTGGCTTGCATAGTTATGTATTATCTTTCCTTTTTACCATCCGTCTTTTTTGTACATTTCCTTCCAAAAGACGTTCCTTAATAATTTGTTTTTTGTCATTGTGATTTGAGAAGGCCTAATCTCAAATCACTGACACCACTCAGTGTATTAACCACAGATTCTTTTCTGAATTTCAGTAAACTTGTCCAGGTGTGTTGTCTTTTAGACAGAAAGTTAGCAGGCTGCATCCTCATAGTGAGTAAGAAGTGTCACTGGTACCTTACATATCTATTAAGTCATTGTTTTAAAGTGTTTCTAAAACCTAAAAACCTCCAAAACCCTGACTGATAGAATTTGATCATGTCTCATACTGATGCAAGTGCTGTTTATAACCCACTTTTCACAGTCATATCACTCCCACTTATATTTTATAAGATTTCTAAGGGTGTTAATTCATGTCTAGCAAGCTAGTGATTCTCCTTGCTTTAATTTTACTTTTGCTTTTCCTTTTTTAGTGTCTGTATTTATAAAAATACTGAATTTGTTCACGTGCACAGTCTGGTGCTGGTATACCATTGTGTCTTTACATTATGAGTTCCAACTTCTAAATAAGCAGTTTCAAAATTTTGTGTCTAAAAAGTGTATGATGGTTTCAGTTACTCCTTGTCTGACTGAGAAGCATGTGGCTTAACTCTGGAAAAGGGTTTTCATGAAAAAGGAGTATTTCAAAAAAAGTTTTCTGATGCTGAAAAATGTTTGTATCCCCTGTGCATCTTAGGTTTTTGATTATGACTTCGGGCTTCAAGATGACTTTATTGGTTCAGCGTTTTTGAATCTTGCATCATTAGAATTAAACAGGTATGGCACAAATAAGTCTATGGAGTAATTCCTTAGGCGCTGATTGCGTGTTTGTGGAGCTGCAAATAGAATGTAATGCTGAAAAATAATAATGCAAACCTACCTCATATAAAAATGGCAGGGGAAAAACGCTTAGTTTCAGGGAATTACTGTAATATGAACATTAGTAAATATACTAACTTATAATACAGAATATTTGTTGTAGCATCTATAAAAATATAACTTTTATAATCACTCTATTCATGTTTTTATATTGTACCCTTGTTTTTATATATCTTCATTTACTGTAGTACCACCTGCTGTTTATGTTTATTTTTCTTATGCTTTTTAAAATTCATTACCATTACAGTGTGGGTTTAATTACTTGAGTGTGTGTATGTACTTAACATGGAGAAAGAGTATTTAGTGTTTACTTATGACTACTTAAACTGAAATACTTGAAGGTATAAGTAAGCTAAATTTGTCACATCATTTTCAAGTAGCTTCATATAAATGCAGATTTCTTTAATTGTCATGATTCAGAAATGTAATTATCTGAGAGCCTGAAATCAAAACAAGCGCACATGTTTTTGTCTCCTAGGCAAACAGATGTTACCTTGAGCCTGAAGGACCCTCATTACCCTGACCATGATTTGGGAACTATATTATTATCAGTTCTTTTGGCTCCTAGAGAAGAACAGCGGGAAGTGGTAATTTTAAGATTTTAATAAGTGTCATCACTCCTGTTATCTTTCTACGATTGGATGGCTTAAAGCATGAGAACTATATATCATGAGGTTAATTTCATTTTTTCAGTTCTTAGGACAATGTTGAGCAATGTTTCCATTATAGCTAAGCATTGGATCCTTTCTGAGAAAGTAGTAATGAATTATCCAGATAGAACATAAGCAATCTGCAGGGTGTCAAAGCCAATTGCAGGGGCATGATGGTGATTAAAAAGGATAAAATCAGTAAGGTACTGGAGAAGAATTTTAAACCTAGTGCTGCCATCTCTAGACAAGAATATGGAAATACTATTCCACTCTGGAAAGGAAGAAACTTGAGGAAAAGTAGTATTTCTTAATTTTTGGCTTTTAGTATGATAATGTTAAGTTTCATTAGGAGTTTTCAATAGAAAAATTGTCTGTTTTTCTATGTTTATTGCAATTCCTTCATCAATCTCAGTTTTCTAAGCTATGTAATTGCTAGTGAAAATGCTTTGTTGTTTTAAATATTGATCCTGCTATTATGACAACTTCTGTCTGCAGTTTGGATATTTTACAGGTTGACTTTTGACTTGTTTTGTAATAGTCCATTTGCGGGAGAAATATGAGACGGGAAATCTTGCTCAGAGGTGGCAAAATAATGTAAACTCCTTTTGCATCAGGAGGTGAAAAAAAGAATTTGATGAGATTTTCCGTTTGCATTCATTATCTGTTCTATAAACAGGGGTGTGATCAAGTTTATATTTGTAAGAGTATATATGATTCTGTAAAGAAAAGGACACTACTGTGTCTGTTATATACCTAACAAATATTGGTGGTTTGTGATACTCTTTTCCACTTTTCTTTGAGTTCTAACTAGTAACTCAGTAGGAACTAGTTGTCTGATAATTAGTATGACAAAGATGTAGGGTTTTGAAAACAGATCTCTCAACCATTGTTTCCTTTACAACATCCTCTTAGAACTTAGCAAAATAATGGCAAATGGTTATAATTTACAGGAAGATTATTTAAATTGTGTGTTATCTTTTTTTAAGTGGTACCTTTGTGGTGGCAACTCAGAGCAGAGCCTTGCAGACTGCAACACAAGTGAGCCTCTAGGTAAAACCCACACTTATAAGTCTGCTGGTAACAACTCTGTTGTTACAAGTGACTTTAGCATTATTGTGCCATAATCCTAAATTGTGCAGCACAGAAATAAATGTGTTTTTATGTGAGAAACCAGTGAGTGGGCAGTAGAAGTAAGTTTGTTTCCATTTTTCACAATACAGATAGAAAAGGTTACTGTGCCTTTCAACATTAAGGAAAAGTGTTATCTACTATACAGAGGGAACTGAAGAAAATCACAGTTGAAAAAGTTAAATAAATTAAGACACTGTAATGTGTCTTTCTTATGGGCATTTTTTCAGGGAATTAGTAACTGAATTTGCCACAGACTTCCCAAATAGCAGCTCTTCATACCCAGCTTGTAGTAGTGATAGAAAGAATTGGATTTCTGCTGTTTGATGTTTCATTATTACCTTGATATTTAATAACTTTATTCTTTTAGCTAAGCAGAAGGGCCAATTTTTCTTTTTATTCAACCTGTTCTTGTACAGACTTTTATTCTGAAAACACCCAAGATTTTTTTCTGTTTACTATTGGAAATCACTCTTCCCAAGATATGAATCTCAGAGCAGTCCTATCAAAGTTGTAATAAAATTGGAGAATTTGTGTCACATTGAAGGGAAGGCGACCTATAAAATTAATGCTGAGTTGATGTATATGAATGTGTTATGCATTTAATGATTAGAGGCACAATTATCTTTTAGTTGGTTACCACATGTACCTATTTGTTAGATTTTACTTACCCTTTAGGGAGTAGACAAATTACAAAAATTACAAAATATCACATATACAAACTGTCATCCTCGATTGTTTTCAAATATCTTCTAGTAATTAGGACAATTTTTATTGAATTATTTGTTGCTGAGATCAGCAAATTGTCAAATGTTATGCTAGAGGATAAAGGCAAATTCTTGTCTGTTACAGAAATATGCACTGTGCAATTAAAGTAACTCCTACTTTTGCAGTCTATGTAGTGTTCTGTTTGAATGACTGCTTCCCTTCTGTTTATCTCCATGCAGGTAATAATTCAAAAAGTACCTGTTGAAATATGTAGATTAAAAAAAAGTGAGGACCTTTATATCAACTACAAAGACTGCTGCATAGAAAGCATGTCTTCATACCACATACATTTTTTTTCTAAATCATTACTGATTTTCTTAAGTCATTTTGATTTTATATCCCTATATAATCTGTTTTTCAGAAGTGTATTTTCATCTGAATAATTTTTTTTCACTTGTTGACAAAATGTGCAAGCAGTTTAACAGTATGCAGTAGCATACTGTTTAGCAAGCAGTTTAAATAGTATGCAGTCGTTAAATCATGAAGCTGAAGCATTCAGAGATTAGCAGCTAGCAGTTAAATTTCATATACTTTATGTTCCATGTGCTTAAATTACAAATACTTCTTAAGACTGTATATGAGGAGAAAGAAGGAATAGCTTCAACAAAATGTGTATTAGCATTTCCATACAACTATGGCATAAAAGTAGCAGTGTGTCTGATTCTATATTTTGGGAGCTCTGTAATAATAATCATAGTTCATACCTCAGCCATTTGAATGAAATTTGCTGTTTTGATGTTTGGTAATTTTTAAGTACAGATTAGACTTTCCAAAAAGATAGTTCATCTACCTCAAATAGAGCAGCTGAGAGTGTTTTGGAAGTCAGGTATACAGGTATAAAAGATGAGTCTATTGACAGTATCTGTAGCTAGATAGAGAATAGACAGAATTCTTTCTAGCATAGTATTTTATCAGCATACCACAGTTGTATCATATGCGTAGGTTGTAAGATCCATCCTGTCATGATGAATAGGGTATATTTCCACTTTTAGCACCTGCACTGGTTGATAAGATATTTCAACTGGAAGTTCAGTGGACTGCTGGTAGAAAATTGGGAGTCTTATTGTGTATTGCTTCCTTTCTGCGAGAGAGAGATATTATTACTAGTGATTTTTAAAAGAAGCAGTCACTGTTGAAGAATAATAGTTGATTTTGGTTTTGGATGGGACTGTGTTTTGTGAAGCCTTGAAATGTGTAAAGAGCTGTGAAAGAAATTTTGTCCACACGTGAAAATTCTACTCCTTCTTTTGGAAAGAGATTCTGATAAGTGCAAATTTTCAGTGTGCACATTAATATGATATTCTTTACAATGTACAGCTAAAAGTTCCCGTTTCCTAAGACAAAGACAAATTACATCTCTGAATGCAGATAAAAATTCAGATCACTTATGTTTCCATATGTGCATTTAGCTACATGGAATTATATTATAAATAAGAAGAGCTGATGATTTATCTCTGAGTCATGGTATACTGTGAGAAACAGCTTAAGTAGTTGACAGTTTGCTTCCAGGGGAAGAATATTAGACACTGTTTCAATTTAATGGAGGTTCTGTATGCTGGTTTCATAAATAAGAACCTACTACTTGATTTTTATAGTATATTTTCTTAGGACAAGAATGCAGAACTAGGCTGTAATAATTTATATACATAGACAGATAATGAACATTTCTAGCAAATCTTGAATGGATCATTGCCTTTTGTGACCTGCTGCTTTTTCTACCAGCGTAAAAATGTTAACTTCTTAAACAATAATCAAACCACTCAGTTTACATTAACATGGTCTATTCCTTTGAGTACTATTGAAATGAAAAGTCAGATTTATTCTGGTTTATGAGCATTCTTAAATTGTGAATCAAAACTGATGAGTTATTGGTATACATTTGAGAAATAAGAATGTTTTTAGTTTTTGTGAAAAGAGATTTTTTTTTAATTGAAAAACTGAGTTGCAGGAGCATTATTTTCAATAATTCTTTTGCATTTTCATTGTGTTAGGTCTGTATAGTTGTTTCAGTTATTTTGCTTTGATAGAACAAGTAGCTGATTTATCTAGTGTAAGCAAAGAAGACAAAATATAAAAGTATTTGAAAAGTATTTGTATATAAAAACATGTTCAAACTTGAACTCTCCAATAAAAAACAAAAACAAAAAAAAAACCACTTTTTAACTTGTAAAAAATATTTTTTTCCTTAATTTCTCATTGTAAAGAGTATGAATTTATAAAGTTGGTAATAATTTAGATTTTTTCTTAGACATGTTCCAATGAAGCTTACTTGTTTCTGTAATTCCAGTGATATTCTTTTAATACTGATCTTTGAATACATGTAATTTACGCATGCCCGTGCATCATTTATAGTTGTATGCATGCCAATTGAAAATGTGTATCGTGTATGCAGATTTCATGCTCAGTATTGTAACTGTCAGTGCCGTACCTGCATGTGAGTGTTTCTGGCTCTTTTGCTAGCAGAGCTGAGTGCGCAGATTCCATCACTACAGATCTTGCACAGCAACTGTGAATTTGTTGGAACTGCATGTCTCCTGTTTACTCTTGAGAACAGTCCTTCCTAACCTGTGTCTTAAAGTTAGCTACAGGGAGTTGAAAGTTGGTGGCTGATCATTTCAGTGGCCTTGGGGGCTGTAAGGCTTGGGTACTACCGCTGTACAGCAATACCAATGGCTTGAGTAGCATAGAAAATAGAAAAAAAAAACAGAAACATGTGAGTGTTACTTGGATCTGAAATTAAAATTACAGCCTTATTTTTTCTTAGATAATTAACCCCAAGTGATACTAAACACTTTTTGCTTTTTTTATCAGTAAAAACATTGATAACATTCCTGTGTTGTCAATTCGCTTGCTGTCCTAAATCATATAGTGCAAGCTCATATGTTATTTTTAATTTTGTCAAAAGTGTAATACTGTCACAGAAAAGAAAAAGAATGACAGCAGCAAACTGAGGCATGGAATGTTTTCATGTGAAGCAGTTCTGTGTAGTTCATCCATCACAGTTTGCCTTACGCTATTTATTTGCTTGGTTGACTTCTAAG